TTCACAGCAATGTTTTCCCCTGATAACGAGCTTCAAAAACATTCTTCTGTGTGGTATTCCAATGTGGAACATAAGCATTTTAATCAGTGCTTAACTGCTAGATTAAGCACTCAATCCATATTTTCAATATTATTTGAAACTCAAATTTGGAATTTCTACACATTTCCTAATGAATTAAAATAGCAATTAAGTCAAAAATTTGAGCTATGCTGACATTTTAAAATAGACTATTTCAAGATTTTTAAACAAGAATATACAATTTTAAAGTGTCCTAAATATAAAAAGCATCTAGAGTACATCTTTTAAGTGGCTTCAGAAACTGGCTACTACAACTCAGTTCAAAAGATCCTTTCAACCCAGTTGGGGGTCAGAGTATGAAGAAATAAGTAATTCACTAATTATGCAAATTTTTATATTCTTTAAGAATTAAGCAGACTAAATTTATGTACGATTCATTGTCACCATAAAAGCAGAGATAACAAATGACAACCCCAAGTTCAGAACATGTGAAAGACCTACCTAGAACATTAGTCATAATGAGTGATATCAATCTTGGAAGGAGAATTGAAATACTCTTCTGCTGCCCTGCCAAGCATGACTTGGTGAGTACCTGAAATCCATCCAGTGCTTGGAATCCTGAATTTAGATATCTTCCTTCCCAAATGCAACTTCCTGCCTTTGAAGTTCTTTTACTTTATGCATATTAATACACAGGTTCCTAAGATATATTGAAATCTCAATTCTCTTGAGACATGCTTGATCTGAATTATTGTCACTCCTGATCTCCTCATTGCCATCCTGGTCAAATGATAGATTTTATGATTTGTCACATCAATCTCATTGCCAAAGAAAACCAAAGGCTTAGCCATACATCAATTCAGATTCATTCAGTTTACTAAATGCTGCAAACAGCATACAGCTGTGTATATCGGTGCTACAGTGAATACTTCATCTTAGACCACATATGAGCCAAGAGTCTGCCTGGCAATTCTTCCATGGCTCTGTTTACTTTCTCCTATTTGACACAGTGGCTATTTAGAAACTTACCTTTCTAAATCTAGTCTCTTTATCTTCTGTAACTCTGGTCTTGTTAACAGATAATCTCACCTTCCACTTCTCCAGGCAGAATATTTTTTTTAACAATTTACAGACTTTCTCACACCAATCACCAATATTTACAAACAGTGTCTTTCCTCACCTCCTCTCCCTCATCACTATGGAAAATGCCTCCCAACTTAAGGTTAAGTACTCTATCTGAATGTGACTCAACTCTCTCCTAAACTTCTATTAATAATCACCAGGGTATTCTTTATCTCCATTGCGTTTTCCCCTTAACCTAACATACTCAAATCATTTATATTCTAAAAATTCACTCCCTCAACTTCACAGCACCATTTATTGACCGCCCAAATGTGTTAACTTTTTCACTTTCTCTTCTTATTTTTTAGAGTTGCTATTTAAGCATACAGTATTACCACATATTACTAAGACACAACTCGTTAGAGATAATTAATTGCAACAACATCTTTTGCAGAAGTAGACACAGTGCTGGATCCTTCACTATTTAAGTTAGGCCAGCATTACCACAGTATGAAAATCCAACAAATTTTCTGGAAATCTCACGCATAAACATCACATTTATAACCAAGGAAAGGTGACAGAATATAGAATAATTCTTATGTAATCTCAAACACAATTATAGTGTTATAAAAATGTAAATCTTGTCTTCACATAAAAAAAATGTGAATGTAACTCAGAAAAATATGGAGTATCTTAACCTGATCACAGAAAATAAAGAGAAAGAAAAACATGATATATTTTATTGTACCATGATTAGAATGTTTTTCTTGGTGATTGATAAATGTAAGAATTTCTACCATTAATATGTCTACTCAACATTGTCCTAAATGGCCTAACCAGTGAGCTAACACCGATGGTGTGAAACTACAAAAGAGACTGAGGTCTCCTTATTTGCAGATAATAAGACAACCTGGACAACAATTTGTAACAATCTATAGAAAAGTTATTAAAACTAAAAATCTGAGGAAGAAATCTGTGTATACAACCAATATAAAATATTGATGTTATTCTCATATCACAGAAACAAACAGAAACTGAAAACAAAAGGTATCAGAGAATGAGTGTTTAGCCTAGCAGTGAAATGCCTGTGTCCTATAATCAAAGTACCTGGGTTTGGTTCCCTGCCCTGGTTCTTGATTCAGCTTAATTCTACCCCCTATGTGGGAGTACTGGATTGAGCTCCCAGCTGCTGGCTCCAGCACCAGTCCATTCCCAGACTGGGGAGTAAACCAACAGATGGGAGCTTTCTTTGTCTTTCTGCTTCTCAAATTAAAACAAAACAAAACACTATTATCATAAAACTCAAATAAGTTTTCAAACATATTTTCAAACATGAAAAGATTATCTGAAAACATATTGAGAAAATGAAGATGCAAATGAACATAAACAACATTATTGTTTATATGAATTTCCAGAAAAAGTGAATACCTCATGCTAACATTGGAATGTGCAGTAACCTGACTTGGATCATGATCATTCGATCTCAATGAGCATACATACTGAAATCCATTGTGTAGTTAAAATTTTGCCTGTTGCATTGCATTTCAATAATTTCAATGAACCAAATAATGTACTACATTAAAGAATCAAATGTGCCACTTTTCTCAACCCAGATAAAGAACAGAAAAATCTTTCACACACATGAGAGATTTTAATTTTTAAAATCTAGAACCCTGAAATCTTTGGAACATAGTTGAATATAACTTCTTTATGATTCTGAGAGGAGAAAATACTTGAACAATTTTTTATTTTAAATAGAGTGAATGAGAGAGTGAACGTGTTTGTATTAACTGATTTACTTTCTACATGCACGGAAGTCAATGCTAGGAGAGGGAAGTAAGTGACTGAAGCTAGGAGCCAGGAACTCAATCCAAAGCTGCTACACTGTGGTAGACCCACAACTGCTGAAGACATCATTGACCACATTCAAGGTGTACCATATCCGGAAACTAGAGTAAGTAATGGAACCAGGACTCCATCCTAGGCACTCAATATAGGAGATGGTTGCCTTTGCTAATAGGATGGGCATCTCAACTGCCAACCCCAGGAATGAATTCTTAAATAGGACTAAGCAGTAATGATCACAAAAAGTTTCAAAGAAAATGTATAACATGTAAAAATACACTATAAGTGCTATGAAAAATAATACCTAAGGAGAGGAAAATGACAAAACACAATTGAATGAAAAAATACCAATATTCAGGATATATATACAAAAACTCTAGATCCACTTATAAAAAATAAAGGACATCCTAATCCCAACATTAAAATGGCCAACACTTGAATAAGCAGCTAACACAAAGAGAAATCTGAAGAATCAGAAATACCAACCAACCCAGAGCATTTTTTATAATAAAAATGTCAATTAAAATAATGAGATGCCATTATACATCCAGTCAATTACTAAAAAATTAGCAGTTTGTCAAATCTGGGATTTTGCTCAAACATGAAAAGTGAGAACTTACCTGAATTGGTGGTAATACGTAAATTGGTAAATATCTACAATAATGAATACCATGCCATCAACTAAAATTCAAGAGATGTTTTGTTGTACTGCAGCAATTTTGCTTTTGCATACAAAACCTACAGAGATCCATGCACAACACTATATATCCAAGACATATGTCCAGGATTGAGTGTAACAGCATTGCTTGCAAGAGTTCAAAAATCTAAACATGCTGAAGCAGATTGTGACATATTCATGTACTGTAAAGTGATACCGCAGTATCAGTGAGTAAGCTGAAACCCATGTGACAAAGAGGAACAGCAAACAGAATACTGCACATTAGAAGCAAAAAAAATGCATCAAGATTAAATTCAGCTTTAATTAAACCATTTTAAAGTAAGTATTTAAGAATTATGTAAGGATCCAAACATAGAGAATAAAACTGTATTTTAGAAATGATGTCATGAAATGAATATAAAAAAATTCAGCTTTGTTACCACACAGTGAGAATGGGCGTGTGGTATGTAATCAGAAAGGCTTTTTAGGATAATTGGTATAATGTATTAACCAAAGCAGTGGTCCTTCTGTTTGACATAACTCATTAACTATCCTTGAGTTTTATGCAGATTTCTACATGTTGTCTCTTCTTTACCATAAGACAAAAATAAATAAATAAAATAAAATGCATAACACATCAATCCCATAGAACAGATTGAGACATTTTTATTGCTGTTCAGAAGAGCTCCTAATTTCATTTAGTCAAAAACTTCCTTCACTTTTCACCTTGTCAATGGAAAGAAAACCCTACTGCAGAACCCATTCCATTTAGTTCAGTCACCTTTATAAATTGGAAATTTATAACTATCAGCCTACTGAATTACACCACAGTTTGCCTTACCTAAATATATATATGGAGCAAATACAAACTTTAGAAAAATAATTTCCAAGGCCTTTTTTTTCTCAAGGAAGTTATTGTCCCCATATATTATGAACCATCTTTTATTGCTACTTCTTACAAATACTCTGCAGTCTAAGTTCATTTCCTCCAAACTACATTCTGTGCACACCATGAAACAGACATTCAAATGCTACATTTTACAGGAAATATTCCCCGTTTGAAATTTATTCACTCTTATTGTGATCGTGTGCATGTTAAAAACTAAAAATCAAGCAGCTATGCAATATGTAACTATTAAATTGACTGCAAGATAAAAATTATTGCAATAAATGGAGGCTGAGAATATTTGCCTAGGCATGTGTAAGATCATTCCTTTTCCTTTAAAATTTTCCAATATGTAAATAAAATGAAATGTACTACTTAATACTTCCGGTAAGTATTTATGCTTTTTTATTCCAGGTATACTTTTCTAATTTCTTTCTCAAAATACAATGTGAACTTCACTGTGTAGCACAATTATACTTCATGGGGAACATTCAAACCAACATCATAAGTAGCATATTTGTCTAGTCTTACTTTGCGAACACCTCTGCCAAGCTCTTCTCCATAGTTGGTTCCAAGAATTTCAAAGTGGACATTGGGATTTCCTCCATTTTCTCCAAATTCTAGTTCTCCAGTCAACCCATTAACTCCACCCTGGAGGAGAGAACAAGCACTGGAGTAATGTTTCTGAAGTTAAAAATTAGAGAGTTAAACAATTCCAGCAACTTTCATCTACTAAACCAACAGGCTATGCATGCAGAGATTAACAGGATGTAGTTAAACAGCTTTGCAGTACGAGCAAGAAGTTCAAGGGGAGAGTTCTTGTCACCATACTTCGTGTCTTGCACAGATCCGTTAGAAAACAAGATGCTCTGGAAGAACATGAAATTCACTTTTGGGGATAAGTTTTGATAACATAGTTTTCTTTGGTTATGTATAATTATATTCAAATTGGATTTTAAAACTATACCCAGGAATTCTTAAGATTCATGGTTTATAAAATTTTTCACGGGGTTGAATTTCCTTTCATCTTGAAACTTGTTTTCAAAATCTGAAGAAAAAGGAAAGCTAATTTCAGCTTGAGATTTCTTTTCTGCTCTTCACTTGTAGTCTGGCTGCTGAGATTGACTGGGAACATTCAACATTCAGCATGACAGATGTTCATCTCCCCAACAGATGGCAATGTAGGTCATACTGCCTATTCCTTGTTTACCATCCTTTTCTCAGTTTAGTTTATCAGCCTTTATATTATTTAGGAGTTTACAAAAGGACAAACTCAGAGTCACTTCATTGCTAAAGCATCTCTAAGTTACAATTTTGGCCAGATAATGACATTTATTTGAACAACAAATCATATCAATTTGTAAATTTCTTCCATCATCACATCTATGATGTTGATGCTTAAATATATCTTACTTGTCATGACCTGTAGCCCCAATTTTTACTCTTTTCTGGCTGTTATTATGTGGTCTTACAGATCTACTCATCTATGTCAGGCAGCCCATCTCCTGATGCTAAGTTCACAGAGTTCAACAGAACACTACTGATGGATGTTTTTGTATCTTATTCATTAATATTAATATTTAATCCATTTAACTTTGCAACAGTAATAGTAAACTATTACAGCCCCATTATTATTATTACTGCCTAATCAATTGTTTTCTTTCCTACCTCCAATTTGAGAGTAATTCATTGAAATGGATAGGTCTGTGTTATTTTCATGCATGATGTATGATATATGAAATGATAAAGAACACAGGTCATGTTTCTTAGATTTCCTCAATGGCATCAGTGTCTACTAGCTGTGTAAGCCCTTTAATTTCACTGTGCATCAACATATAGATCTGTCTAATGGAGACAACAATAGTGCCTATCCCCCAAATTATGATTTCTATATGACCAATAAAGTATGTGGGATACTTGATAATTGGTGAGACTTTCATTGCTATTGTTATCATATGCCATTATTTCACCATTTAATGTTAAAATATTTCTAGTCCTCCTAGAAAATATAGACCTCATTTTGGGTTGTTGTTTCTCTTTTTTTTCCATTAAGAATTGCCAGTATGAAAAAATTCATTCCGTGTTTAAATATTCAGCTGTTTTTACACGTTTTACTGAATTTGTACATCATAGATTAAAACTGGGGAAAAAACTGGTCTAGGACATATTCATTCTTTCTCTATTATATGTGTAAGGTGGGAATTGGATGACAAAGTTTAATGTTGTGGTAAACTAGAACTTCAGATAGATAAAGTAGTAATATTTACTAGAAAGAAGAATCTTGGTAAAGCTTTCAGAAAGATATTTCGGGATAAGTAAATACTCTAACAAATATATCAATTCTATTCATGGATAAATGATTCAGGGCTCTCTGGAAAAGCTCTCAGGGCTTTACATTTTCTAAGGATAAAAAGGAGATTATCATAATGTAAATAATCTCTGTGGCAAGAGGTAAGCCTACAAAACCTTCCTTGAAGAATGAGCTTGTTCAAGGTGAAGATAAAAATGACCTGGAGAACCCTGCAGAATTCCCAGACTCCCTCTCCTTTGTCTGTGCTACATGTTTTCTTATATCTTTGATAGAAGGAATATATACAGTTCTTGAAAATTAATTTTCTTTATGTGTTTGTTCAGTATTAACATCTCAAAGCATCTCAACAGCACTGAATATTTTAAGGACTGGGATAAATACAATGGACAGTATTATCATTAATATCTCTAAACGGCAAATACTGCAGGACTTGGACAAACATAAGCTTGTTTTATATGTACATCTGTACGACTGGTATTCAGAAGATTTCTATGTAGCTTTTCTTATCCACAGCAACATATTGACATCAATAACATCTCCTGATTACAACAGGACCATAAATTTCTACTTTAATAATTTATTTCTAATAAAGTAAAAGAAACTGTAGGTCAACAGAACTTCTACACAGTAAAAACACTCTACCATTGGATTTTTTTTTTTTAACATTTGAGCACTAGACTGATGGTTGCAATATTTTTGTTCCCCAGTTATAACACATATGGTTACATGGAGCTGAATCTTTATTCTCAGTTTATAGTTGCCACTCTGAGTGACTTGGTGAACTTACAATGAACAAGATACTTGCAGTAGTTTACTGTGGCCCTCACTTGCTTGTTCACCTTTTTGACTTTGCAATTTATCTTCTTTATGGCCTGTTCTTAATGAGCTCTTGGAGTGTTTCATCAGTGAAGCATTTCCTCATGTAGATGCCAGGGATTCCTGAGAGGTCAGTATGTTAAGCAAATAAACCTTTAAATTAAGACCCCACTTACATCATCTAGACTGAACCTCTCTGATTTTTTGATAACCTCAGAAATTTCCAGCGGTTTTGAATCTTTGTACATCTATCCTCACACTAACACTGAAGACAGAGCTTTGGTAAAAACGCATGCCAGCCACGTGGCAATGGATGTTCATCATCTTTCTGCATTCATGATTCTGTTTTGTTTCTCTGTGGGTAATGCAGCATGTTCTAAACACAATAAGCTAATGAGTCATTTATAGTATGAATAACACTTACAAATAAATATAAATGTCCTTTGAAATGACAGCAACATTGTTGTCAGGGTAAGCCCATTCTGAAACACCAGGCAAAATTCGACTGGATTTCATCCCACCTATCTAATAGAGACAGCATTGAGAAGGAAAATGTTAAAGAGCCAATTGAAGATGAGGAAAAATGTTCCACCAGATATTAGGTTTTTAAAGGCAAGAGTGTTTTTCATTCCCTTATAGATGGGGTGGAGGGGGAAGGAAGTAGAAAAATAGCTGGCTTTGTTTCGCTCTGTTCATGAGGCTGGGAAATCATTCCCCACACTTCACAGTGCAAAAGTGACAGATTAGAACGCTAGAGGATCACATGGAACACCTAGTGATCCATATCCCCTGGGGATGCATGTGGTAACCAAGGACACCTATTAGGTAATCGTGGGCCTGGCAAGGCAGCCAGCATACTCGGAATGCCAGATTTGGTGGCTTCTCAGTGCCGCAATGTTTCCTAGTTCCATCACTTTCGGGTTCAGAGAATAAATTCCTTGACAAAAGGCAAATATTTCATTTTCTACCCAGCAAAGAAATGTAATAACAGTTACATAAATGTAGAAATACAAAAACAAAAGCCAAAGCCTAGTTTATATGCAATGTTCTAAAAAAAATGGTATTTACATGCAATTTCTGTACAAATATGATGAAACTTCAAAAGATTTGTGAAACTTAAACTGATAGATAAGTTTATTTTGGCACAAAAAATCTTGAAATTCATGCATAGGAAAGTTCTTAAGGTTTGTGTCAAGGTGCATTATGGAAAAAAATTATGCATAGGTTTCAAATATATTCTGTGCAAAAATAAACTCACCTTTTCTTTCCATTCTGCATACATTTTGAAGTACACACACACACACACACACAAACACAAACACACACTCCTTCCTAATAAAGGATTGTGGCAATTGCAGTAAATAGGATGTTATTAGCACTTTGATCATGCCGTCTCTCAACAGAAACGTACCGCCTACACAACTAGTCACTGATTATAGAGACACACTGAAACTGCTCCACGGAATAGTAGGATATTGCTTTGTTTTGTTTGGAATTTTTGTTGTTGTTGTTTTTGTTATCATTTTCTACTTGCCAGGTGTTGATATCCTTATCTAATGGAGGGTAAAGCCTGCAATTGCAAAATGAAATGAAAGTATTCTATTATAAATACTAGAAAAGAAATCATGAGGGGGAGGGAACGTGGGGATGTGGGCAGGAAGTGTGTGAGGTGAGAAGTATCAGTCAGCTCCTTAATCTGCGATATGATCTAAGTGAGATCTATCTACTACACGTAAATAAATCATTTGAAAAACTGAAACTTTCATTTTGTGTCTTATATTGCTTCTTTTAGACAACACAGTCTGTGTCTAATATGACATATGTGCAGTGGATTATTCAAGAAAATGTTCAGCTGGGCTGAGCCAAGACAACAGCTGAATCAGAAGCTCCCGGGATCACCTCCTTACAGAGACAGCACTTTGACAGGCTCTGCCAACGCCCAGTCCCCTTCACAAGAGCCATGGAAGTCAGCTGAGAGACCATGGGATCTCATTTTGTTGCCACCATAAGAAAACTTGCAATGAGGGAAGCAAGAAGGAAAGTTACCAGAGCGCCTTCTTTTCCGGTTCCAAGGAACAAGTGATGCTTCTCACTTGGGAGAAGGAGAGCAAACTGAATCCCAGAGCTAGGCCAGCTGTGAAGGCCTTACTAATGAAGTGAATGTTCAGAGATTCACAGACAGTTGGTGTCTACCTCATTTCCTTTAACCACATGCAGATAATGAAACTCTAACCACACACACGGGCCAGGTATTACAGTCTAGGACCATGCGTTGGATGTCAAATCTAGGCCAACCAGACTGTTATCTAGAACTTGATAATAGTCAATGGCCTAGAACCCAGCACAATGGCTCAGTGGCTAAATCCTCACCTCGAATGCACTGGCACTCCATATGGATGCCAGTTTGTGGTCTAGCTGCTCTACTTCCCATGCAACGTCCTGCTTGTGGCTTGAGAAAGCAGTAGAGATGGGCAAAAATCCTTGGGACCCCGCACCTGTCTGGGAGATATGGAAGAAGTTCCTA